GAAATATGCTTCGCCTTGCTTGTGGGTTGCAAATTACCTGTTTATTTCCAAATTATAGTAATTTTTAATCATTGTGCAACTCTCTGTACAAGAGTACAATATAAGTGGCTGGGCTACTAGGATTCCGTAATATACCATAAAAATTCTTATTTTTTCCCCAACCGCTGTGAAATAAGAGGGTTCCCTTCCACACACCTTTTTAAACAAACAAAGAATAAACTTGTCTGCTTTTGTATCTATCTGTCAAATATCTAGGAAATCTTTATAATTCTGTTCATCAGCGTGATAAGCATATTCAAGAATATACAAAATAGATGGCTGGTGTGGGTCTTCCGGGCTGTGTGGCCGTGTTGTGGAAGTTTTGTTTCCGAACGTTTCGCCAGCATCTGTGACCGGCATCTTCGGAGGGCAGGAGCACAGAGAGAACTGCTCCTGTCTCCTGAACACGGCCACACAGCCCGGAAGACCCACACCAGCCATCGTATTCCGGCCATGAAAGCCTTCGACAATACAATGTACAAAATACTCTGTAGCACTTGCATGTTAGCAGATTTTGCTAGTGTTAATGGTCAGTCCTTGAAAAGATTATCTTCCTATTTAGAAAATGTGATTGACTTTAAACACTCTAATTGGGAAGATAAAGCAGATTTTATCCCTTGTTGGAGATATGTATGTATTGTGAGGGGGGGAAAAAACTGATTTATTAATACTTAAGGCTTTTGTTAATTGTAATAAAATATATATGCATACATATATATTTGTTAGTAGCAGATTTCCTAACTGGGCAATCCTATTACCATTGTCAGAGCTATCCAACGTTGAATGCTTCAAGAAGTCATGTCCACTCCTGCTCTCTGTCAAGACAGAAGTCATGGAGAAGCAGCAGTTGTATTCCCATTCTTCCAGTTTTCTTAATCCTGCCCCTTAAAACCAGTATTTTTAGAATTCTTTTTGAGGAGCTCCAGACTTCTAAATTTTTTCCAGCATCTGGGGCACATGGAAAGTTTTGGCTTTTCTATGTCCAGAGCCTACCAAATTCCCAATTTTATCCTTTTTCTCCTTTCCCAACACCAGCTTTCAGATCTTTTTGTGAAGGCAGGGAGTGGAGATCCAACAAAGGATCTACTCCAAATTCAGAACTTTCTCCCAAACCTCAAAGAGGGATTTCCAATCTTTTCTACAGAGCTGGAACTGCAGCCATTTTATTCCTGTACAGTGCTCTGTGTTTAATCCTCAGCAGCCTATATACATTAAATATAATTACCAGTATCCTCAGTTAGCAGAACATTAGTTTCTGCACTATTCTATTAATTTTGGCATATAAACTATTGCAGTGTGTTCTGGAATAATGTGTTAGAGGGCATAAACGATATACAGTGCATTCCGAAAGCATTCAGAGCCCCTTCACTTTTTTCAATTTTGTTATGTTGCAGCCTCATACTGCAATCGTTCAAATTCATTTTTTTTCTCATTAATCTATAGTCAGTATGTCACCCATAATGACAAAGTGAAAACAGAATTTTAGAAATGTCTGTAAATTTATTAAAAAGGAAAAAATGAAATTACACCTGTACTTAAATAATCAGACTCT